AGTAATAATAAAATATTAGGTTTTATAAGGCACAGTTTTAATAACAACTTGTAGTTCTCAGTTTCATCATTCATAATAGTATTCTAAATGATCACTATTATAATATTTTTGTAAAATTTATCACTTGTTGTTGCAAAATTGATAAGCACTATTTTCTAACTTAGTATAGATAGTAAATAGTCTAGTTCTTTTATTTTCAAACTTTGCAAAATGTAAGGCTTCTAGATTCTTTTATTGGATTAAAACTTTATCTTTAACTTCAAATTCTTTTAGTCTTAATTTTCTGTTATATCTTTCTTTTTGTTTTTCTTGTAATGTTTTTGTATTTCATTTAGCTTGTTCTTGTGCTTCTAGTAGTTTGTCTATTAAGTCAAAAACTTATAACAAAATACTGTCTTTTAGATTTATTTCTGCATTAGTTTCTTTTATTAACAGAATTAGTTCTATAGGTAATACAGCTTGTTTTCTATAAATTAGCTAAAAAGATATATATCCTATAGTAGCATGCTTCTTAGTTCAATAAGCAAAAAGTATAGCAAAAAGATTTATATTTTAATCTTTACTGATTCCTATTTTTGCTAATGATTTACACAATGTTCTACTTAGTTTTTACTATATTATTTGTTTGTAAATAATATAATGATAAAAACTTATATTGTATAAGAAAGTTTTCATATAGAACTTGAATTATTTTACTTTAAAAGTTAGGTTCTTGGTCTAAAAGAATGATCTTTAGTATTCCATGTAGACAAACTATTTCTGTAAAAATAAATTTTGCAAAAGTTAAAGCACTTGCATCTGGCATTGCTTAAGCTTCAGGTATTAAGTTAAATAGTTTGTTATAACAATAATATATCTATTATTGTGAGTATTAATAAGTAGTAGTTCTACTAAGTTAATTCTAATTCTTTTAAAGGCTTGTCTTATCTTAATAGGATGTAAAGATTATTTTCTTTTAGCTTTGCCTTTTCTTTGATATTGATCACAAGTCTTTATGTATTCTTTAATGTCTCTATACATTTGATTCTAATAGTATTTTTCTGAGATCTTATAATACATAGCATCTATTTCTAAATGTTTTATATTATGCATTATATATAAAATAGGATCTACTTCTGTTCATTTAATAATTTAAATGATTTGTCTATAGATTTCTTGTTTTTTTTATAAAAAAGTTCATTTTGAATTATAAAATATTTAGCCTAATTAGTAAATTGATTCTGTTGATAAGTAGTAAAGTCTGAAGGTATAGTGTTAAAATTTAAATAAATAAAAGATTGTAATATTGATCTAAGTTCATTATTTAAATTTTTATATCAAAGTCTTAAAAGTGCATCTACATTAAAATGAATTCTACCTAGTTTATAAATAATTGTAAAGTGATAAAGTTGAAGTTTTAAAATCTAGCATTTGATATGTTCTTTAGATTCTATAGATTTAAGCTATTTTAATGCTAAGTAATCAGTTATTAAGATAAATTTTGTAGCTTTTAAATAACTATAAAAATGTTTAATGGCTTATACTATTGCAGTATATTCTAATTCTGTAGCAAAATAATTTTGCTTTTAGAATAACAAACTTTTACTAGTATAAGCAATAAGATGTTCTCTATTATTTCTATCTTTTTGACTTAATGTGACTCTAAAGTTATAATATGAAATATTTGTAGCAGTATAAATCTTTTGCTAAAATTAGAATAAGCTAGTATAGATGCAGTAACAAGCTTTTCTTTAAATAATTCAAAGGCTTGTTGTTGTTTACTTCTTTAATAATAAGGTTTATCTTTTATATAGGAGTTTGGGCTATTGCTAAAAAGTTCCAGATAAATTGTCTATAGTATCTAGCTAAACCAAGTAAAAATTTTAATTTAGTAATGTTTTTAGAAGATTAAATCTTTTGTATAGCATCAATTTTTGCAAAGTCTAGAGCTATTCCTTTTGAGCTAATAGTATGTTCTAAGAAAAGTAATAATTTTATTCAAAAGTTGTATTTGTTAAAATTAAGTTTTAATTTAGCTTTTCTAATCTGTTGAAACAGTATTCTTAAATGTTTCAAATAATTCTCAAATGTTTTTAAGTATACATTGGTATCATCAAGATAGACAAAAACAAATTTTTATGCAATTTCTTTATATACTTGTTTATGAGTTATTGGAATGTTACTGATGTATTGCATAATTCAAATAGCATTACATTAAATTCATAAATGCTATATTTTGTAATAAATACAGTTTTTTCTTTATTTTTTAGATTTATAATAACTTGCCAGTAACTACTAGCTAAGTCTAAAGTTAAGAACCATTGTAATTTCAATAATGCATTTAATATTTTTTGTATTCTTAATAAGAAATAAGCATCCTTTTTAGTCATATTGTTAAGTTTTCTATAATTTATATAAAATTTTAACTTTTTATTTTTCTTTTATATTAGGATAACAAGTGATGCCCAAAGGCTTTCTGATAGTTAAATTATATTGCTTTTAAGCATTTATTTAATTTTTTCTTTAATAAAGTTCTGTTTATCAGAAGGCATATTGTAAAAACATAGTTTAACAGATAGTATATCTTCTGTATAAATGCAATGTTTAACTTTATCTGTTTTGCAAAGTTCTGTAATATCTTTGACAAATAAATTAGCAAATTCTTTTAATAAGTTTTTGAATAGTTATCCTTGTTCTTTAGTAAGTAGTTTTATATTTACAGTATTTGTTTTTTCTAAAGCATATTCCTTATATGATATTAGAGTATTTATTATATATACATGTTTTTTTTTCAATGCATTTTTTTGCAAAGCTTGTTGCAAAGCTTCTTCTTTTGTTAATATTTTTTTTTTAAGTAATAATTTTTTAATTTCTTTGTTTTCTATTTTTTCTAAGTCTTTTGAATCTTTTAAATCTTCTAAGTCAGGTAGTTTTTGATTTTGCCTAGAATGATTTAAAAATTTTGGAATATAAAGACCAAATAAGAATAGTAATTTGCTTATTCTTGATAATAAGTTATTTGATCTTAAAAAAATTCTAATATCTTTTCAAAATTGTCTTCTAAATATTGAATTTTGGCTTTCAATTTGGCAATAATTTGGTCTTTTTTATCTTTTTTTTTATCCTTTCTTTTCTCAGAAATAGTGTTTTTACTTATTTCTATAAATTCTATAATAGCAGTTTCTTTTGATAACTCTACTACTTCTATAATGTTTTCTTTTTCTGAAATGGTTTCTTTAGTAAGAGCTAACTTATTTAACTTTTGGTAACATTTATCACAATACACTTGGTACTTTTCTAATTTTGTATATTGTTTAGCAAAAAGACATTTATGACAAAAGGCTACTTTTCTTTTAAAATTCTTTCTTAAATTTTTTACTGTTTTCAAATATTAAAGTTTGGATAAGCAGTATTAAAAGATCTATCGAAAATATGTTGTAAAGTGGTTTCTTCTTCTTTAGTAAAGTTTACTTGTTCTGTTTAAAATAAGATAATAATTTTATCAGAGGTTCATTTATGACTATATTTATTATAATCTTGTTCTTCCATAGCTTTTTCTATGATTTGAGTATTTTCTTCTAATAAGACTTTAGCAAGTTAATAAATTCTATCTTGATTAAAGGTATACTGACTTTTAGCACTTTTGTTACTGTATTTGCACGTAATAGCAGGCCAGGGCGTTAATTCGAAATTTGTCTTTTTTAAAAAATCAGGTAAATTACTTAAAATATCACTCATGTGCATCTCGAAATAACGTGCACCCATTTTTTATATAACTTAATGCATTTTTTTAATAAGTTCTTTTATAGTATAAGTAACAAAAAACATATAACAAATACTACATTATCGAAATTATATATTTATAGATTTTAAGATTTAATTATTAGCAGGACAATAAACTCTATAACTTATTCAAATTTATATCTTCTAAGTTTACTGATAATGTCATATATTATCTGTCGAACTGTCTACCAGATGGTTCAAAAAGGCCTCAAAGTACAAATATTAAATTTAGCCTTCAACTATAACAAAAGTAGAAAATATTTATATTTAACATATCGTTTTTTATTACTATTATACTATTATTTACGTAAAGATTAAAAAATTATTATCTGATTACTAGATAAACTATATTTATATAATTTGAAATTAATTTTTTATATTTGCTTATTAAATAATAAGTTGCTTACGATTTGTTAATACAAATGCATTAATTTATTCAATTAATTATTTAGATATAAAAGTGGTCTATATTTATTAAAGTTCAATAGTGATAAAAAGATATTTTAAATTAAACTTGCTAATATTAAATCAGAAATAAATATATTTACTAAAATTAACTTACTTCACAAACTACTAATAAATTGTTCATTAATTTGTAAATTTCTCTATGTTTGCTTAATGAAAAACATTTTTTGTTCGATCACTAATGACTTATTTAAATCTGACAATGTTTCTTTGTATCTATACAAAATTTGCATTATCACCAAAATCTTGAGCATTTATGTTAATAGCATATTCACCATATCCAAAATTTATTGAACTTCTGAAGTTCTTGCATTCATATTTTTAACGATAATCTATCTATAATATTGATTATAAATTATTTATTAATTTTATTAATTTTTTTTTTAAAGACAAAAATATATATATATATAATAAGCAAGTTTATACCTAAATGGTTTCTAGTATATGCCAGTGGTGTTTCTTCAATAAAGTTATTTTACATTAAATTTTAGCAATTCTAATCTGTTTTTATTAAGTATCTATCTAATGATAATTTTTCATTACAAATTTTTGATAAGAAAATGTAAGAAATTGAATAAAACAGTGCAAATCTAAAAAAAATATAAAATTTTAACAAAAAATTTACACAGTATCAACATTAACTATGTAATTTAACATAGGTTTATAACCTCAGTTTGTAATGCTTTAATCAATCCACCCTTTGTCATCAACCATTTCATCAATTTTTTCAAGCATCCCTTTATCAATCATTTCTTCAAACATCTCCTCATCAGTTATTTCATTTCTTCATTAAACATTCCTTCATCGATCATCATTTCTTCATAATTACTAAACATTTCTTCATCAACTATCTCTTCATCAAATACTTCATTATCAAATGCTTCTTCACTATCTTCAGCAACTACCACCAAATTATTACTAGTATCTTTTCTGTTTAAGTCTATATCATCTATACGATTTTTAATAATAGCTTGTAAACAGCTTAACATTTTATAATTCTTACTACCATCAGGATTCAATGTAATTCCAGATGCCTCAAAGGACTTGATCAATAATTCAAAGCTAATTTCTTTTCATGTTTCTGAAACCCATTTACAGATTAGCTCATAAGATGCCTTCTTGCAATTCCCTTTTGCTGTATATTTTTTTTCTTCCTTACTTATTCATTCATCTCATTTTTTTCTAAATTTACTTTTAAATGGCTTATTAACTAAAACATCAGGTGGTTGTAGTATACTGGTTGTTCTGCTAGGTATTTCTACAACTTCTAGACCCTCTATATTTAATGCCTTTACAACATCATTACAAATATGACTTGCATGACGATCAACAATATTACATCTTTATTTTTAAAGAATCCACCTAGTCATGCTCGAATAACCTGAGGAATGTATGTAGATAATATTAAATTACAATTTATAGTTGCATGAGGTGCTGCTGCTACAACAACATTTCTTGGATAATTTCCTTTTGGCTTTTTTTGTAACTTGAATAATACCAATGCTGAGAGTTTTTCTCCGGAAGCTATATACTCTAAAACTACTGTAAAATGCAATTTGCCATTTCCAGTTGTTTTAACTAGCACATTATATAAACCTCAAAAATCAATAGTTGATTTACTTGGCATATCAAACCATATGAGCATCTTATCAAAAGAGATGATATATTGTTTGTCAATATTCTTTGTTATATTATGAGCAATTTGAAAAAAATTTTGAACTACTTGTGGCATATCTTTAGGAAACTTTTGTGCTATCTGTGTTTGAGTATGTTGTACTAAATTATAACATTGCATAAAGCATCCAACCCAGCCACATGAAGCTTTAAAATTTTCTATGCTTAATGTTTCACTTAGCTCTTTGGCTTTTTTTCCTATCATAAATGCTATGATGTTATATTTTTCTTTACATTTTTTTTTTACAAATAATAGTAAATTTTGTTCTAATGCAGGATATATTGGCTTTTGACTACAACTATTAAGTACTCATACTTCCTTTATGTTCAAATTTATGTTATGTTTGACTGCTTCAAGTTCCGACTTCTGTTTTTTCCACTCTTGGACACATTTTCTATCCACATTGTAGAATTTTGCTATACTGCAATTAGATGTACTTTTTGCATAGAATATTACTTCCAACTTGAATGCCATAGTATAACTTTTGTTTTTTTTAATGATAAGTATGTTACCTATATTCGAAAAAGATAATGCATGAAAAGAAAACAAATAACACAGACTGAAAAATTCTCTTATATAATGTGTAGTCACAGAATATGCACATAATAGTTTCTATTAACTAAATTCAATAAATTCAAAAATTCTAATATTAGCAGAGCTGATAGTTTTCTATAGTAATAATTAGTTGTGCTAAATTGGTATTTTTATAAAATTTCAAAAATTTTTTTTTACATTTGCCTAAAAAAAAAAAAAAAAAATCCCATACAAAAAAAAAAAAAAAGAAGGTAAAATTAAAATATTAAATATTTAAATTTTTTAACTATTTTCTGCAGCAATTCTGCAATGTTTTATAACATTTCCATAGCAGTTCTGTGATATTTACAATACTTTCTGCATTCACACCTTAATTCTATGATTTCTGAAACATTCTGTGCAATGCAGAAAATCATCGGCCCTGAATTCAGTTCTATAATATTATAGCTTTTCTAGTTACCAATCTTAAACCATAAACTTGCTCAATACTACAAGTACTTTTTTTTTTAAATGTATGATTGAAAGGTTTCATTATAAAATGTGATAAAAAATTATAAAGTGTTAATTTACACATTCTAGTTGGGCTTCACAAGGGCAGTAATAAATAATTTTAATAATGTTATTAATTTTGTATTTCAAGTAACTTTCTAGTAACTTTCAATTTTAGCTTAATGAAATTATTGACAAATTTTAGCCTCAGCTTGCTCTTATGATTATTGGTAATTACTGTATATATAATTCTAACAAATTTTTTCTTTGTTAATGCAACAATTTCTTTAACATCTTGTTGCAAGTAACTGTTAACATTACATTAATCAAATCGAGAAAAGGCATTTCTAAGCACCTATTAATCATGACACTTTAAGTAATTATAAATGAATTAAAAGCAGTAAAGGTTAGATAACTTTTAGCAAACCTGCAAGAAAGTAAATAGCATATAGCTTTCCATAGTTTGATTCAATTATTTATAAAGATCATAATTTATCTACAAATCTGAACTCATAATATTGTTAGAGATGTGAGCACAATGCTGTAACTTGTCGTAATTATAATAAGTTATAGCAAAAAATGCTATAATTCATTATAATTATGACAAATTATGGCATTGCGCTCATACTACTAATATATATATGCAGTTATTTATATTTTATATTTGAAGGTTATTTATATATGTACATCAAAAAAAAACCTGTTTACATAGTTGCAGATTTTTGGGACAAAATATAAACTTAAAATCTAATAACAGGTTTTTTCTTGGTGGTATTACTAGATACTTATGTACTGTATATACAGTACATATCTTATTGTTACTGTATCTGTTATTATTAATGTTAATCTTGCCTAATCCTAATTTGGTCTAGAACCATCATGCTAATTGTAGAATAAAATTGTTGACTAAAGTAATATTCTTTTAGCAAACGTAAATATGAATAGGAGTTGACTTGTAAGGGTGAAAAGACCAGAAGTATTCTCTCGAAATAAAGTAACCCATCTTAGAGTTCTAACTTCGAAAGCTATAATAAGTAGAAATTATCTCCAATCTTTTTGTTAATAAATTATAAAAATAAAAATATTATTTTTTTGCCTACTAATTACAAGAAAGAGAGTGTGTGTAATTAACCCCTTATATATATAATTTTAAATTAATTAAATTATGATTAGCATCACCAATAATAATCTATATAAAAAAGTTTATATTTAAATGCATGTATATGAGTATTCGGTCAACTATGTAAAGTGTATTACTGTTTATATAAATCTATCACTATCTCTATCACTATTATTGAATTTTTTTTTAATAATATATATAAAGCAATCAAGATAGTTTATATAAATTACTACTAGTATTAAGATATTTTTAGATGTAGATAAACTTTATTTTTTTCAATCGTTTTAGTATAAAACCATTTTTACACATATATGTCCAAGGTTATATTAAAATATTTTAAATTAAAATTTGCTTTTCACAAAAATGTTTCTCTTTTCAATTAAATACAGATGTTAAAATGTTTTAATATAGCTTTGTTATGAATATGCCAAGAATTGTAATATGCTACTGGTAAAGAACTTGATAAAAGTAATGCTTTACATTGAAAAATGTTCGAATCATTCTTTAATATCTTAATTTATGCAAAAGCACAGTAATAAGCATAAACTGCTATATGATTATTATCTAAAAATAGGTTTTATATAATACTACATAGTTGATTCATATAGTTAAACGAATATTAACAATGGATTCTTTTATCGATATTTGAACTGTCTGTATTTAGGTTGAATTTAAAATTCTGTTTTGGTTATTATAATAGTGCTCATGTGCTTTATTTCAAATACCAGTACCAGTATGAGATTTCAAAAAAATCACATTTTACTCAAAATAAGGTGCATGCAGTTTCAAAATAATGCACAGAGACCCAAAATAATGCACAGAGAGGCATTATTACACACAAATATAGTAGACTTAGTATAGTGTTAAATTCTGTTTCAAATTTCATGAATTTGGATTATATTGCAAATCTGAACCAACTTTATAAGTATACATATATTTTAATTCACAGAACTATAGATCTTCTTGCATACTTTCTAAATAGTGCATTTTTGATCGAGGTTTTTGAATATTACATACTTTATATTGATCAAGAGTTTCTTTTTCTAATTTTGTTATATAATATTTATAAGTTTCTAGTTTATTAGAATTAAAGCCTTTATAGTAGGTCTTGTAGCAAGCAGTACAAGCAAGTTGAGTCTTTAACTTGTATAATTTTTCTGGTTGTTGTGAAATAAAGCAAAGACAACAATAATGGGTTTTTCTTTTACTATAATAGAATTGTCTTTTTTGTTCTACCTGGTCTTGATTATATCTATATCTGTAAGTCAGATTATCTAGTTTCAATTGAGCAACAAAGCAATTTATTTCTATATAGCTATACTCATTATAGCTATATCATTAGTTTTTTAGACAGTTTTTGAACAAATGAGTACTTTGTTTACAATTCTTGCAAGCTAATTGTTTTCTTAATTTGTTGAAACAGTTGATAGGTTAGTAACTATATCTATTGCAATGTTGGCATCTATTTTTAAAACAATTTTCATATTGATGAATGTTTTGTTGCAGATATAGCATGCAGAATAGTTTTTTTTTTAAAAGTATATAGTCTATTCTTTATTATAATCTTCTTTCTCAGAAGTTATTAAAAAGGCATATGCTTCATAAAAAGTCAGATATTTTTGCTTGTATAGTTCAAAATCTTCTGAAGTAGTACAAGTAAACTGTTTTTCTTGAGATTGTTCTTGCTTATAGAATGTATCAAGACCAATTTTTCTTTCTTTCTAATAAATAGTATATTGGAAAGTTTTTTAGTTATAGTTAGCTTTTATTTTTTTTGATCAATTATTTTCTAATAGAAGAAAATAAGAAGTAGCAGATACAAGTTTTATATCTAAAGAAATAAGTTATTCTTAAACACTAATAAGTAGGTTTCTAGTATTGTCTTCACAACATTGTTCTTAGCCAAAATACATGCAACAAAATTCTTACAAGCCATATTGGACTGGTTAAAAATAAG